GAATGTATGAATCTAAATGATATGAAAAGATGATTTTTTTTTTATATATTTATTTTTATTAAACTTGATGTTATATAATGATCACAAATAATCATCTCAATGTTTTTCTTTTTTTTTCTTTATTTCACAAAACAATAAAGTTTGTTTTGTTTTGTTTTCTTGTTCAAGCCTTGACAGCAAAAGTGCGTTGCGGAAAAGCCCATTGTCGTCGTTGAACTTTTCTCAATTGAATTGATTTTTCCTTTGGTGTTAATAAACGTCGAATAGCTCGTGTTTTACGTCGTCGTAAATCTTTGGGTTTATATTTTTTACCATGATATAAAGCACGTAAATTGTCTTTTGTTGTTTGATGCGTAACAATAAGGACACGTGCAATGGATTTTCGTACATTGCGAATTTTGCCCAATTTTTGTGCACCACCACTGCCAGTTACTTTGCCCACACGAAGTGTGTTAAGTTCTTGACGTAATTCTTCCAATTGTTTTTGAAGTTCATCTAAGAAAATATAATAATAAGAAAATAAATAAATAAAATGATTTTATCATTTATTTTATACCAGGCTTTTTTCCACGTAGTTTTGAGCACTTGACACGAGTCATTGTTTGATTGACTATCTGAAATACATAAGAATGATTATTAATCCATCGAAGAAAATTAAATAATATAAATCGAAACTTTTAACAAATAATAATGGTTTAAAATTATATCTTCGCGTTAGCTGAATGGTTAATATTGATTCCAATTCGAATAGAAACTCTTCTAATTGATGGTTATAAAACATGATTATTTGAATTTTTCTAAAAAATTCAAATTTACGTTAATTTTATTTTAATTTATCTTAGAAAAATAATATAAACTTGTTATGACTTATTTTGAGATTACTTTGATTAATAGATGTCGCACCTATCTGAACATGTTTCCAAACACACGTATAATCAATCGAATGTATGCATTTCATTATATGCATCAACCAAAACGATGTTTCCGATTTAAAACAATTTTTAAAAAAGTGACTGATTAAAAATTCGGTAATTCAGATTATTATATATTTATACTTTGTTTTATTCAGTATCGAAGGAAAAATTTGTGCATAAATGTATAAAAAAGGCTATGAAAAAATATCACTTTTGAGATTCGAGGTTTGAGTGTGGTTGTACGAATGCATTTTTTGCTATTTGTTTGACAGCTTTTTTTATGCAATCTAAACATATAATAAAATGTGATGATACTAATTCAGGTATTAGTTTTAAATTCTTATTGATTTAGAAGCGAGCTCTCCAACATAAGTTACTGTCAACGCAGTATTTCAAATAGAATATGTTACATTTTCGATCAAAATCAAAGCATCTTCACCATACCTGAAGAAAACAAAAATCGTGAAATTTTACAAGACGAAAAAAAAGCAAATCATAATCATTCTTTACTTTATATTTAACAAATACTGATGCTGTTATTAACTAAATTCATAACCATTGAAAATAATACCAAAATCTTTATAAAAAAAAAATCTTAAATAAAAATAAACAACAAATTCTTATATTCAGTTGTTAATTCAGCATACCCAATACCTCAAAATCTACGTAGCTCCAGTCTTTCAATCAGATCATCTGATTGTACGTTGTATTGAACTTTAACAAAACTAGTTGCAAATATTCGCACTAAGCCAAGAATTATTTCATGTATTTTTGAGGCTAAATTTAATAGAAAAAAAGTAAATGATAAAAACTCGTAAAATATCAACTCATATAACCATTTACTTTTGCAATAATATTCGAAATCAAATGCGATATATATGAAAGCTCTTCATTGTTAGATAGTACTTTTATTAAATCCAACTCTCGAAATTCCCATCAGAAAAATTCGCAGTGATTATTCTTTGTATGTAAAATTCACATAATGATAATCATTATTTCTCATTCGAAAGATGCCGAGAGCATGGGTCATGAGTCACCAACACTGATGAATATGGTCTGTTTTTGATCATCTTAGTTGGAGAAAAAAATAGTCCTGATGCATACAGAAAGATTTGTTTTTCTTTTTTCTCAAAATCAATTTTTAGACAAAAAAATGTAGAACTGTCCCGTTTTCTACATACTATATTCGATCAAGCTGAAATATGTTTTTTACAGATATTGGATACTGTTTGGGATGCCGATTTTTTTTTATTTTGAAAAATATTGCATAGTCATATTTTGATAGATTTGATAGAAAACAGCTCTAGTAAAAGAAAAACCATGTATTTTTCGAAGTGCACGCGTTCTTTAGGAATCCCGAAAAGGGATCTTCTCAATACATAACTTCAATGTATTTTTGTATATATAAGTATATAAATGTTTTACTAAATATTTTGCGAAAAAACAAATATGAATGTTACATTGGATACACATGTCATTAAATAAATGAAAAATAATAATCATATAAGGTTAGACTTGAGTTTTATTTCATAAAAACAATGGTGTATTATTGTCGCCGACACGTTAATGATGAACGACATTCAAGGTCAGAAAAGGTCAAAATATTCGATATACTTATTGACTTTAAATGACAAAAATAAAACAAAATAATTATTCTAATGTAAAATTTATATGATTAGTTTTTCACTGTTGTCATTGCTTATTAGTAAATCTATAGAGAAAAAAAAACTCGTCAGATTACACGAACAGTATTCATAGACATAAAATTGCTCTAATATTCACGCAAGTAGTTTATATATACATGCGGTCAGATCGTACTAGTTTTGATGAGTATTTTCACTAGTATATGAATGAGAAAAATGTAATAGAGTTTGTTTTGTTTTCTCTTCGTGCATTCTCTTCATCTTCAAAAATATTATTTCGATTATTTTTCTGTAGCAGAAAAACTATATCAAATGTGCTTAGTAAATTTGATTGGCTTCGAATAGAAATAGAAGAAGACATATGGCAATTCCAATGTCATTGTTTCATGTCGAAATTGTATTCTACTCTTATATTTCATTGTTTGTTCAGTATTTGTACCCATGTGGTTTTTTTTTGAAACATCCACCTTCTATTTTTTCTTCGAAGTTTTCTAAATATGAATGTTTATATAAGAGTTCTTTTCACAAGGTATATTCCACATTGTATTGAATTTATACTCAGAACACAATGGTTTTCTGATATGAATTTCTGTGATAAAATATCTATTATTTCCGTTTAGAACACTTAAACGAAGTAAAGTCGTAACAGTGACTATGTATAGATAACCAAGAAAAAAACTTTACGATGAAGTAATGTTGATTTAAAACAAAATGCTCTTTTTTGAATGGCTTCAAACAGAAACATAGTAGAAACTTGCGATTTCTGCCGTCCGAAAGAAGAGACGAAGACACATCAAATCATGTATTTGAAATCTCTTTGATAATTTTTTTTTGCATATGACCGAATTTCTTTAAGGTCAAGATAGTTTGAAGAGTTGCAAAACTTAATTTATTATTTTCAAAGATAAATAAGTATTGTCAATGGAAAAGTCACTTTTTCGTCTATATTTCGATGAAAATTAACTGTTACTGATCTATTTCAATACATTTATATTCCACAAAAATTTGTTTGAGAAGCATTTCAAGTTTTGTTTATAACTGAATCATTGTATATTCTAATATTTCGGTATTTTAGATGAGATAATAGGACTAAATAAATTGAATAATGACATCATCGTTTACTTCGAAAAATTCTCTTTAGAATAAATACGGCGAATGTAAGTAATCATCTAATTTATAAACATCAGATCCACGTTTTAAAACTAATACAAAGAACTTTTCTTTCTATAAATCATTTCATATTAACGAATATAGTTCTTGAATACCCTGAATTGAATTTTGAACAGAATTTTCAGCAATCATTTAATTAAATTGAAATGTTTTAGATTTATTCACTGATATTCCACTCAATTCAATAGTTAAATCATAATTAAATTTTGGTTTATTTATACAGATCCAATTTGCTTCACATTCTTCATTTATACGCATGTATATATAAGCATTAATAGTCGTTCAATATTTGCCTTATTTTTCTTTGTATACAATATTAAATCGAAGATTTGTTGATAGTTTTTTTTCGTCTTTATTCGGTCGTGATAGTGCTTGTTCTTGATATCGTTGTATTATATCGAGACTAAGTGTTTCTGATAGTATTTCAAAACTTGATTTAATTGAATTATCGAAGATATTTATTAAAATTGTTGATTTCTACCTTTCTTGATGTATCTAGATCCAGGAATACCTTGATAATTTTATTCTATTTTCTATCGAATATTATCATTAGATAAAATGAGTAATTATTGACTTGTTTACATAACTAAAGTCATTGTAATTCACAATTTCTCTGTTCAACAGCGATTACAATCCTAAATTATAATAGAAAATTTTCAATGATGAAGAATTAAACAGATATTAATATTAATAGAACTTCTATTCAGATTTTTTTTTCTGTAATATTTAGTATTTTAGTATTAGTAACAAAAGAAAATCAATAATTATATAGAATGTAACCTATTGATTGGAATTTTGTCTTAGCTATACTTACAATTTAGATGATCGAGGTAGAGAGAATAAGAGATAATTATTTGAATTTTTCTATCCTTTTTTGTCACAACCTTTCGTGACTGATCCAAAATTGATGTGAAGAAAACAGCAACAGAGTGCAGCATATTTCTCTATCGATTTGTTTCATATTTAAATCCCTTGTTAATAACTTGGACGTCATATAAAAGAAAACAAACTCAAGGGATTCTTCTATTCTTATATATCCTAATCGAGTTGTTTGTAGAAAAAAAATTCTCTATCCTTCTATAGATTTTATATATATATATATATATATATATAATATACTTCTTCAATGTTTATTTTCTATTACACAATACAAGACGAATTATTTCTGAATTGAGCCTGTGACTGGTTTTAATCGACATTTTTCATAAACGATTTAAATTCTTAAATTAAACGATTTTCTTCATATTGTTAATTTCATATAGAAATTATCAACATGGAATTAGATACAATCAAACTTCATCAAATCTTACCGTTGTTTCCAAGTGAAATTCATGAAAAAACAAAAGAAATTTATGAACAAATTCCAGAAACATTATTAAAATTCTTAGATTTAACAGAAATCGTTAAAACTGCTGAATGTTATGAATCTGATTTACATCATAATACATACACTCCAATAAGTCGAAGTGAATATTGGGCAAGTTTATGTCAAGCTTCTAATGCTCTTATACCAAAAAACATTTACTATCAAAATGAAATCAAAATTAATTCAACACATTCAAATGTAGATCGATCGAAAGGAAAATCAAAAAAGCAAGTTCACCGTTTAATATTACCTATGAAATATAACAATAAACATGCAAATAATCTTCGCATACATTTACTTGATTCAATACGAAAGACATTTCATGATCAACAAATTATAGAAATAACATCAGATATTCTTGCTGATCAAATTGTACGAAAATGTTTAGAACAATGTCCAGATTGGGGTGAAAAACAATGTAAAACTTCATCAACAATTGTTCGATGTAGTTTAACTGATGTTATAGAACAAGAATCATCATTAGTAAATATCAATATAGATGTATATGCTCATCTTAGATATGAATATGAACGATCATTTCTTCCTTGGAAAAATGATAACCAACCAAAAATTGGTTATGACTTAACTATTGGATTAAGTGGTATATCAATTAATTGCATGACATTAATAGAATTTTGTGAATTAGTAGCTGAAAATGATGTTTTAAATGTAATTGCAATCATTGAAAAAAACCAATCCAACAATGATATCAAGTGATTTAAATAACAAAGATTTAAATCAATCACTGAGAAAGAAGACTCAATTAACATCGGACAGTCTTTAAAATATTTCTGCGTAGACGTACATTTAGTTTATTCTTATAATGAATGTATAACTTCTATTACCTAATTTTTAAAACTAATTTGATGAAATAAAATTGATCATCATAAACATAACAATTCTAGTTGACTCATATAAAACATTAAATAATAGAAAATTATGATTCTAATGTTAATACCACGTTAACAACTTTTGATATCATACAGGACCTTACTATTTGTCAGAGTTTTTGTTATTACAGATATATCATTAGATAAGTGTCTCATATTAATTATCTCTAATCTTTGTATTTTGTGCATTCAACAATATAACGAATCATCGAAAAGTTTTTAGATAAGATGTTTGTTCATTTTTGACGTATTTCCGATGAGTCAAAAAGTTATAGTTTTGTGCTCGTTTCGAATTTAGACTTAGAACTTTTGTTCGAGAGAAGTGAAATAATCTTTGAAAAACTCAAAAAATTAATTTGATCAGAACCTGTGAATCGACGTTTTTAGTGAACATGTTTGTTCATTGTGGATTGCTTGCAAGTATATTTTAGACGAACGACAAAGCTATATGTCGCGATCCGAATTTGAATATAAGCTTAGAAATATCATGTCTATTGTTGGTCAAGAGTAATGAGAGACTTTTTGAAAGATCTGAAAATAGTACGCCAACCAGTTTTCGTTTACCTTATAGGCCCCTTTTCGAACATGCTAAAAATTGACGGAGTCGATTGTTTTGTAGAGCGGACATCTCTCTACAAAATATGAAATTTAACTAAACTATAACTGTTACTGAAGTGAAGCTACAAGCATTTTTTCAAGCGCTCCTTTCAATATAAAACGGTTGTCGATTTTTCAAAAATTAGTATTTAGAAAAAATGAAAATTGAGGTGTCTTGTCGAAAAACAAGAAAAACTTCAAATAGTGCGATTTTTAGGATAGCTTTTAAATTACAAGCTCATATATAAATAAAGATTCCAACTTTTAGTTTCGAATCGCATTAGTGAAAATACAAAATTATTCCATTCAAAGTAATTTCTTGAACTTTTCAACGATTATTTCACTACTCTCGAACAAAGATTGAGACAAATTTTCTAAGCCCATATTCGAAAAGAGTATCCTGACTTATAATTTTTAACTTGTCGGAAATATTTTCTAACAGATCAAAAATGAACAAACATCTTGCCGAAAAAAGTTTCGATCATCCGTTACTTGCTATAATGCTAAGGGCATGATACTAATATATTGTTCAAAAATGTGCACGAGAGAACCTTCCGAACTTGAAAATTGCTCTTGGCTTTGGACTCTGTGTACAAAGGTAGGCTACAATGAAGTATGAAAAACCTCAAAAGGATAAGGACTTCTAGGTCTTCCATACAAAATTATAGCCATTTTACTAAAACTTTAGTCTATAGCACGGCATGTACAAAATAATTGAATGACGATATGTGGATCTGAAATTCTGCTCATTGGATGGGTCAACTTCTAACTAGAATGTTCCCTTTACGAGATATTAAATTCTCAAAAATCACTAATTTTTTTACGAAAGATCCGATAATCTCATGTGTTTTGGGGGATTCAATATTTCGTGAAGGGAATATTCTGTTAAGGTGAAAATTTCATAATATCCTAGTCATAATTAGACCTATCAATGGGCAGAATTTCGTGTCAAAATTTCGTCACTCGATTCTTTTGTACATACCATGCTATAGACTAAAACTTCAGTAAAATGGCTATAACTTTGTAGGAAAGGCCTAGAAGCTTTTATTCTTTTAAGGTTTTCAATGCCTCTTGATGGTCTACTTCGTGCACAGAGTCCGAGCTCGAAAGCACTTTTCAAGTTGGGAAAGTTCCAGGGCTGCCAAATCTCCTGATTTAGCCAGGAGACTCCTGATTTTTAGGCTTTTCTCCTGGTGAAAAAATCTCCTGAATCCAGGAGCTGATTTTTATGATTTTCTCCTGGTTTCTCCTGGTTTTTTAAAGGATTTTGTCACGTTTAATTGTAGTGATATTTTGAATCAATAAGACAAAGAAAAAGAGAACTATCACACTATTTCATAGATGCAATAGACAATAAGAAAACATGTCGTTTCTGCTTGTTAGGCCTGATAACATGCGTTTATTTGTGAGCTTATCTTCTTGACGGTTAAAATGTACCTCATGGACAAAAACTAGTTTAGTTCGCTTTTTCTATATCAACCTAGAATGCTATTTGTGAATTGACCTCCAGCCACATGAAATTTTTGTGGGCTCCTAATAGAAACGATTTGAAGTGCAATCTTATTGGTGCATAATTAGGAACTAAATGAATAATCATCTCAGTTATACAAAGTTCTATAATTATCTTTTTGAATAATTCAAACCTATTGAAACAAATTCAGTCTTTAGAAAAATATGGCCATGTTCATAGGTAGCGAAATGTTTTGGATCTAGAGTAGGCTCAACAATTTTTTACAAGATTCGCACCACGAAATTAAAAATATGCAGTAAGCCAATTTTTTTGATGCCATCTTGATGAAACAAAGTTAGTATTTCTCATTTCGAACTCGTATTTTGTAATGTATGACGCTGATGTAGATAAGAAAAGCATTTGCAACTTATGTGTCAAAAAACGTGCATTTAAGAAAACATGTCGATGATTATCTTCATTGACTTCCAACTCTCACAAGAATTCTTTTCCATCTGCTGTGCTAAAAAATAAAATAATGTCCAAGCAGCAATGTTCACAAAAACGACATTACATTATGAATGTTTTTATTGTGTTGAAAAGATATTTTTTCTGCGGGAATATTTTTCTATACTCGTCGTTTTCTTGCTCCATTGCTTATGGCAATGGGAACTCCATTAAGTATTGGTGTTCCCGCATTTTTTCTCGTATTTACCTACATATTTGGATACATATATGTAGCAGCGTTTTATTTTTACGTAACTAACCTACTGTAGCTCCAATCATAATTATATTTTTAATTTCAAGTCGTGTCACGGTTATCTTAAAATCTAAAAATAAAACAGGAATAGGAATTCCTGAAGTTTTACGATTAGAAATGTAAATCGCCGAGCTGAGTCGCCGCTGTCGGTGGGACAAAAAAACTAACAGTTTTGAAGATTTTTCGACGCCTGAGATCACTCTTCAACGATGTTTCTGTCTAGGTTTTTTATCAGTGTGTTCTCTACCATTGTTTTCTCTTTTTTCATCCGATAATTTCTCGGAAATAAGAAAACCTTAAAGAAATCGTCCAACAAATTCACTTGCCTTCGCCGACAGACTAAAAAATTTGAGTATTTTCAGTCGCTACCGAAATAAAAAAAATAAAATCACACTTACACATCACCGATCTATGAGCTGGTTTACGCTTCTGCTTATGGAAGTGAAAATAAATTTTTTTCTGGGAATAAGAGTGTAAGAACAAGAATAACAATTTTTTTCCGAGAAAGAGAATATACGGGCGAGAACAGCAAATTTTTTCTGAGAACAGAAAAAATAATCGAGAAAAGTTGCTCTCATAACACTAATGATCGGGTAATGTAAACTTAGTCGCTAAAAATGATGAAAGTCTTTGGCAGCTACTAGCTGATATGATTCAGATTTTTTATGTAGTACTTCGTCACTTTTAACGAAAGAACCTCACTTGAAATCATGGCTGACCCAAGATTTGACATTTATTCACACAAAACTAAAAGTTTTCTCAAAAACAGTTTCTAGGTCTGTTTCAATAAATGTTACTATTTGTTGTCGATAGCGACAAAAAATCTTGACGTCTGTTCAAATTTTTTATGTACTGCACAAACCTATCAATTTAACGTAGTAGAAAACAATTATTTGAGCGTACCATAGTCTATGGAATCTGAACCTAAGATAGGCTTTAGTCTACTCAAGCCGTATGATTCCATCATCTACAAATAGACGCTATCTAAGCCTTCATTTATTCCATTCACGAGTCTACCTAAGCCTTTAGCTGTCCAAGCTAGAGTAGGCTCGAGCATACTCAGGACTTGTGACCTCTTCGTTCATGGTCATGTTACAAAAGTGACATGAACGATACAGTTAATAAATTATTGTTCATGTATGCCCATTTTGTTTAGTTACATATTAATGTCTAATTAAACTTCATTTTCTATTTTGTCGATATATTTTGATAAACCACTGTAAAATGAGTAGTAAAATGAATTCCACATAATTATGTTTTTTTAAGAATACATATCACTTAGAGGAAATTTTGTCATCAGTAACTTAGTAGAAGAACATAACGAGTGATTAGACGAACGAAAACTTCAGTTTTCTTTGAGAGAAGAGCACTAATTCATTTTCTGATTTCAATAAACATCTTCTGATTTTTCTCCTGATTTTTCAGTAAACATTCCCTAGTAAACTCCTGTTTTTCGCAAAAAACTCCTGATTTTTGAAATTTGGATTTGGCAGCCCTGGAAAGTTCCCTCATTAGTTGATGGTCAATATTGACTTGTCTTAAATTAATTGATCAATAAAGTTATGGGAAAATGCAGACGAGCAAGATATTCAATTGACAAAAAGTATCATTTAATGTTTTTCCATTTGCAACAATTGCTTATCAATATGATGAATATTTTGGTCTTTTTGAAGAACAAAAATAATATACCATTTTGAATTACATACATTCGATACTATGAACGAAGTAAAAAACCTTTGATAATTTTTCTACCTTGAAATTTACTCAAACAGTAGAAAATATCGAACTAGAATCCTTTGCTCTATCATTGATGATAGCAGAAACAAAACCCTAAGAGAACCAGCGATAGATGATGATCTGCGATGAATAATTTTATCTTTACTATATGAAAATTTTTCATATAATATTAGTATGAGTCATAATAGATAAACACTCGATGTGTAGTTTTCGATGTCGTCACATTTTTAGCGCACTCTATTAAATCAAAATAGTAATAACAACAAAATCAATGCACATAGTTAAC